AGGATCTACCAAACGCATGACTTCTACCATGCAGAAAGAAAGGGGCAGCAGGCATATGGGAGTGCCATCCCCTCCAAGTTCACCTCCAAGTCATACACAATCCTGGTTTGGAATTATATCCCCACTCCTTCCGCTGGGTCAAAACCCTGTAACTCCCTCCCTACGTGTGTGATCATACACTGAAGACTGCTATAGTTCAGGAAGGCAGCTCACCAGGGCTTGGCAATAAATGCTGGTCTACCAGTGATGCCCACAGACTCTCCAATGAAATACACAAAAATGCCATTAACTTCTCTACCTTATCGGGTGAATGCCCATCTCCGTCAATGCCAGGACTAGTGTGAATGCCCAGTTGCTTCATTCAAATATCCTAAGTACCAGCATTCTAACGAAGTGTGGGCCCTTGGGGGGGGGCAGCAAATTGTAGTCTCACCCAGACGTGGTAATTGTCGTGAAGTAAGATTACAGATCTATAACCCTATCATAAGCCACAGTCATTTCTCTGTTCAAACATTCCAACAAGTGACTAGAGTTTAATAAGTGCTTCAGTAGCCTTAGGATATCTTGAGCTCATGACAGGTACTATATAAATGAAAGTTAATTCTTTCTCATTTCACAGACATGCGCGCACTTTCCTACTACTTCACTTTTGATAGTGTCCCTTCAAAGACTGCGGAATTTACAACCGTGATAACAATTAATCATGAGAGTTTATTACAGTCCTGTGACAAGAAATACCCCAGAGACTATCTAAAGTGGGGAAGTTTCTGCCCAGCATGAATTAATCTCAGTGGTCTGTCTTCAACATGGTTCATCTTGGAAACACAGCTTTATTTGTGCAGTGACCTCGTTAGTAGTTATTTATTTTAAAATGCCTTCAAATAGAACATGCTTAATTCTAATTCTCCAGTAGATGTTGTCAGTGCTTCCTGATCTAATTGTTGTTGCGGCTGGCATGTGTTCTACAGCTTTTGCAGGGAAGCTGTTGTGGGTGAAGGTGCAAGGTTGTACATCATGTCTGCAAAGGCAGAAATGTGCAAGGGAACAATTTGTGAATCGTTTTTGTTTTATTCAGAAATTGGTGTGATGTGGCATTTGATTCCATTTAGTAGTTTAGATATCAATGTGGGCATAATGACATCTACCTTTAGATTGCTCAGAGGGAGCATGTGAAAAGGCATTGGAGTAATTTTACCAATTGTCATTTTCCAATTCAAATGAATTCCTTAAGCACCTGAATCACAGTATCATACAACACAGAGAAAAGCCATCAAGTCCATTGTACCTGTGCTAGTTCAGAGAAAAAGATAATACCAAGGAGCTATGCTGTTTCCCCCCATTTTTGCAATGTTTTTACATTTGAAAGTAATTTACTACTGAATCCATTTGCACCACTTTAATAGGGAACACATTCCAGATTGTAACAAATCTGCATTAAAGGAAGATTTTTTTAAAAAGCTATTTCTTCCTCAGGCCGTATGTTTTCTTTGATTTCTTCCTTTCTTTATAACTTTTGTACTTGTTTATTTAATGCTTCCTGTACACCTCCCTTCCTCCCCTCAAGTGAGCTTTCCTCAGGCTAAGCAATGAGTGTCACTGGCTATTCAAATAGGCAACATATCTCGACTCAGTCTTGATCTCATCCCATGTTCACACACAGATGCATGCAGCAAAGATGGTTGTTGCCCTGATGAATGGGAAACCTGGCTTGAGCTCCTCACATTCCACTCTTCAACCTGTCTCAAACAGACACAAAAGCCATTCTTAAAAGGAAGGAAGTGTTTGCATTTATAAACCACCTCAGCTGATGAAAACCTTTGAACTATGATTACCATTATAACCTAAGGGGACAATTTATACATAGGAAGATCCCACTTTCAGCAATGAAATGAAATGCTAGTTCCACTGTTGCTAATGCTGTTGTTTGAGGAATTAATGTCTGTCAAGACACCAATATAGCTTTCCCATTCTGTAATGGTTTCTTTTCTAACGTTTAGAAAGTAGCAAGCCTACCTGAGAGCAGGAAGCTTAACATGCCACCTAAAAGATTACATCTCTGATGGTATAGCACTCAATCTGTAATACTCCAAACAGTCAATCTAGATTAACATAGAAACATAGAAAAAAGGTGCAGAAGGGCCATTTGGCCCTTTGAGATTGCACAACACTGTCCAATACGATCATGGCTGATCATGCAACCTCAGTATCCCATTCCTGCTTTCTCCCCCGTACCCCTTGCTCCCTTTGGCCGCAAGGGCCATGCCCACCTCCTTCTTGAATATATCTAATGAACTGGCTCAAACAGCTTCCTGTGGGAGAGAATTCCACAGGTTCACAACTCTCTGAGTGAAGACATTCTTCCTCATCTCAGTCCTGAATGGCTTACCCCTTATTCTTAGACTGAGACCCCTAGACTGAACTTCCCCAACATCAGGAACATTCTTCCCACATCTAGCCTGTCTCGTCCCATCAGGATTTTATACGTTTCTATGAGAACCACTCTCATTAATTACTCATCCTTGGAGCATGACCCCAGAGTCTTCTGATTGACAGGCAAAGTTGGTACAACTGAGGTGAGACAGTTGGTGCATCAGTTCAACTGATTTCACTATGAAAAGATAGAATGGAAACTGCTCATTCACAGCTGTTTCAGCATCTCACTAGTTACTGATAGTTACTAGTGCCTAATGGGACAACAGCCTTTCATTAATGAGGCTGGAATCAATCATTTGTCGTAGTTTAATGAACTTGTTTAACCCTACGGATTTTTACAAGCCGCAGTCTCACTAGTTCATCTGTGTTTGTTACAAATTTTCAAACTGTCTGCCCTTGAATATCCTTTTATCGAACTGTATCTGATTATTGTTTATGCAGGCCCCCCCCACTTCAAACCCTCACCTTTTCGCCTTGGAGTAACCCCTTCTCAAAAGCACCACTGTTTCACTTAAATGCTGGGACATGAGTTTAATTCTGTTTTAATTACTTGTCCATCGGTTTGTGTACAAATGCTGGAGCAGCCTTTTTAATCCTGTTTATTCCCTTGTCAGCCATTTTGTGTCTTTCAAGTATGGGCAGCTCCAACACTACCCCAGAGTGGTCAGGACATTAAACAAACTTAAAGAGAAGGTAGACATATTTTTAATTAGTCATGGGTTAAAAGGTTATAAGGCTGAGATGAGATTAGCCATAATTGTATTGAATGGTACAGCAGGCTCAAATTGTTGCAGGAGGTAGCTTGTTCAAAGGCTAATTGAGGCCTATTGAAAAATATCCGTTCCGTCTCCAGGTGTCTGGAGGTTTCAGGGATCACCCCACCAGTGTCACTTTCTGCGGTTAGCCCCGGGGCACCAGACCCCAGGGTGGGCTTAGACACCCCTCAGCCTGCCTGGTTTGAGCTGCAGCCGTAAGCCACTCTCTGGTGGGGCTTCCTTTGTTTGCTATGGTCCCCAGGGCTGACACCTTTTTTTTATTCTGACAAAAGAAGAAGCTGCAGGGAATACGTCTCCCCTCTGCCTCCTGCCTGAAATGTCAACCTGCTGTTCCTCAGTGGTGGTCATTCCGCTATTGGCTTGCCTACTTTGAAAAGCGCACCCTCTGGCCATCAATGGATCAATTGATCTCGTTGAATGGCGGAGAAGACTCGATGGGCTGAATGACCTATTTCCAGATAGTCTTATAGTCTTCATTTGGTTACAAAAGGCAAGGATCAGTTGTCTGCTTTTCAGTGGCATGTCCTCTCCATGCTTGATGTTTTGTTTGGTGCATTCCGGTGAATGTGTTCTGAAGTTACGAGTAAGATTGTCTCAGTGCCAGATAGTCTTATAGTCTTCATTTGGAGAAAATCGTGGCCCTGATGACTGTTTTCCCCAGGCACTGAGTGTCATTCAATGTGACAATGGGCTCTTAAAGCCCTGTAGTGAAAATATTACCCTATGACTACTGTCAATCTGTCCTTGATGTTGCCAGGGTTGGAGGGTTTGAGCTATAGAGAGAGGCTGAATAGACTGGGGCTATTTTCCCTGGAGTGTCGGAGGTTGACGGTTATCATGAGGGGCATGGACAAGGTAAATAGCCAAAGTCTTTTCCTCAGGGTAGTGGAGTCCAAAACTAGAGGGCATAGGGTTAAATTGAGAGGGGAAAGATATAAAATGAGACCTAAGGGTCAATGTTTTCACACAGAGAGTAGTGCATGCATGGAATGAGCTGCCTGAGGAAGTGGTAGAGGCTGGTACAATTACAACATTTAAAAGGCATCTGGATGGGTATATGAATAGGAAGGGTTCAGAGGGATATGGGCCAAATGCTGGCAAATGGGACTGGATTAATTTAGGATATCTGATTGAAATGAACGAGTTGGACCGAAGGGTCTGTTTCCATGCTGTACATCTCTGTGATTCTATGATGAATAAACTGAAATGGCCCAGGAGATCTATTTTAGAGTCCAATTATTTAACAGCAATTCTGTCAGTGGTGTCCTTATGGAGATGCCTGGTGTTGACCAGCTCCCCCTTACAACAGGAGGGCAGCATTGTCAGTGGTGCTGAATGTTCCCCTTCTCTGTGGATTGGCTCTGAGGGAGGTCTCACAGGGAAGGGAGTAGCCTGTCTTTACAGGGGATTGTATAGCAGTCTGGAGCAGAAGAAGTTGCAGGTAGACAGCGAGGAATCCAAAATCGGTGGATTAAGCCACAAGCTGGATCCTGAACTTTCAGGCAATTATGCGAAATTCTCCGAAATGCTCCTTACAGACCTGGGCTGGGGCTGCTGAAGGAGGGTCACTGGACCTGAAACCTTAACTCAAGCTTGTTCTCTCTCTCCACGGATGCTGCCAGGGAGTTTCCCCCAGCAACTTCTGCTTTTGTTTCAGTGCTCCAGCATCCCGCAGTTCTTTCGTTTTACTTCTAAAGCACCCCCTCAGCTTCTCTCTGGGCTCCCTTCAGAAGAGGAAGAAAAACAAAAGCACGTTTTTTTTTTGATTTGTTGTAAAACTTAGACTGCGGCGTGAACACACTGTAAGATGCAGGGCGCTCTCTCCAACAGGATCTGCCACCTCCCAGCTCAGAGGCGCGTCGTTCCGCAGATAGTAACTTTACGCACTTCACTCTAAAAGGGCACTTCGTCTGACGGTCGATACGCTGTTAGCTTCCCACAAACTGCCAGGGGAAAGCTCTGCAGGACTCAAAAAAGGCTACATTGAGCATACACTCAGCAGCTCAGGAATAGCAGACTGGGGAAAACTCCACATCTGCAGCTCGTGTTATTTTCCGATTTCCCCCCAGCCTCTAACAGTCTTCCCCGTTCTCTCTCTCACTCGGGAGGCCGGCTGCAAACCATCTTCGGCCGAGGAACCTGGACCAAGAGCCGATCTGAAAGCCCTCAGTCCTGGTGAGTCCCTCTCTATTTAATCACAATCGTTGTGTTCTTGAGGCAGCCACTCTCTTCATAACCATCTGACCACGGTGTTGGCAAACAGCTGTGTGTGTTGTGTGTGTGAATGTTGTCATTGTCTGTCTCAGTGTGTATCAGAGTGAACCTCGTGTGCGTGCAAATATCATTGTGAACATTTTATTTATGTGTGTGAGCGAGCATTGTGTGTGAATATGGTCTTTCTCAGTGTGAATATTGTGTCTGAGTGAATATTTTGTAATGTAGTCTTTGTCAGTGCGAACATTATGTGTTTGAGTAAATATTGTGTGATTATCGTCTTTGTCAGTGTGAATGTTGTGTGTAAATGTGCGTCTGAGTGAATATTGTGTAAATAACACCTTTGTCAGTGTGAATATTGTGTGTAAATGGGCGTCTGAGTGAATGTGTGATTGAATAGTCTCTTTTATCAGTGTGAGCATTGTATGTGTGTGTGTGAAAATTGTGAATGTCGTCTTTGTCAGTATGAATATTGTGTCTGTGTGTCTGAGTGTAAATTGTGTACATATAGTCTGCCTAGTGTGAATATTGTGTGTGTGTGTGTGTGTGTGTGTGTCTGAGTGAATATTTCTCTGTGTTAGTGACTATTCTGTGGAAAGGATTGACTAGTTCAGTTAGCTGGATGGCAGGTCTGTGATGTAGACATTATGGGTCAATTCCCACAGTGAGATTCAATTCCAGGCTCTCCTTCTCAACTTCTCCCCTTGCTCTAAGTATGGAGACCCCCTAATTAAATCTCTCTCTAATGACAGGTTTGACTCAGCTGTTTTAGCAATTCTGGAAAGGGTATTTTCCACAGAGCATCTTTATGAATTTTCTCTCTGAGTTAACAGGACTTTTTGCTCTTAATAATGGGTGGGTTACAAAAAGCAAGGATCAGTTGTCTGCTTTTCAGTGGCGTGTCCTCCCCGTGCTTGATGTTTTGTTGGGTGCATTCCGGTGAATGAGTTCTGAAATTACAAGTAAGATTGCTGAAAATGGCAGTAGGTGAGAGGGGAGTGGGTTGAGGTTCGGAGAAGGTTGACACCTTGTTAAGAACACCCACTTTGTTCCCATTTCAGTTTCCATTTTCAACATTTGGACCAGAGAGACACTGAAATTAACTTTACTTTTTACACATTGAAGAATTTGAACTAATGAGCCATTTGCTTAAAGAGACTGAATAACTTCCCTCGAATCCACCTAAACTGTTTACCTCAGCATGCTTTGAGAGAGTAAGATTGTTGTTCTGATAATTCAGATATTGAACTAATACTTTTTAGATATGAGTTCAAAACCAACCATGCTATTAGAGGGAATTTAAATTCAATTAGTTAAAGGTCTGGAATGAAATTATCAATATACATCAAACATGTCAATTTCTTTTATTGATTCACTGAATGTGGGTGTCACTGTCAAGGCAAGCATTTATTGCCCATCCCTAATTGCTCAGAAGACAGTTAAGAATCAATCACATTGCTATGAATTTGTAGTCGCACATAGGCCAGACTTTCTTCCCTGAAGGAAATTGATGAACCATATGGGTTTTTGCAACAATTAACAGTGGTTGCATGTCACCATTAGATTAATTTTCAGTTGCAGAAAAGATAACTTTCTAATGAGCTTGTTCAGTGATGCTATCACCTCTGAAGCAGGTGGGATTTGAATCCTGGCCTGCTCAATCAGAGGTAGAGACACTACCCCACTGTCATGGTGCAACTCATACTGATGTTCCCAGAATATTACCCTGGTGCCCTGGATTACTTGTCCCTGGTGTCCTGGATTACTTGTCCCTGGTGTCCTGGATTACTTGTCCCTGGTGTCCTGGATT